AAACTAAAAGAAAGACGTTGACTTCAAGTTCCGAAAACAAACAAGCAACCCATAGTTTGAAAGGAATAAAAAGGACAGATGGGAATTAGGATTTGTTATAGATCTGCGACTAATGTCATTTAAAAAAATTAGTCAGCACAGCGAGATGAATTAAAACTTCCGGTCTTCGAACGGTGCACGAAGACGGGTGCTGAACACTGCCGAATTTTTATTTGGGCAGAGCTATTTTAATTAAGGTTTAAACAATAATCAGATGGTTTTAAGGGAATAGAACTTTTGAACTACTTGCCTAAACAGCCTTAAGTGGAAGAGAATCTCTCTCATTGCCTTGATAGCACGAAGAAGAAGAAGTAGAAGAAGAAGAGCAGCGTTTATTAAATTGTAAAGGCTAAAATAATTAAAATGAAGCCCCCACCCGCAATGAATTAAAATTAAACCAGATCGAGGCGAGCTGGAACGTTTTCTTTTCCATCACGATGTATGAATGAATATTTATCACGCCAGTGCTCCGTCTTAGCTGGATTTTAGGATTCTACCCAAGCGCGCGAATTTGGGCTTGAAAGACTTGGGTGAAGCACTGAGGCTCCCTTTTTGGCCTTGGCAACTTTGGACAGCTATTTTAAACCTGGGAAGTTTCCCTGGCCCTCCTGGAAACAGGGAGCGTGTGGGCGGGGCGGGGGGAGGGTTAGGAGGTGGGGGGAGAAGCCCCCCAAACACAAAGACGCCCCCACAAGTATCTTCTGGCCTCCCCCCCTCCACTACAAGGCTTTCGCCTAGGTGCGAGTCATACCGGGGGAAAGAGCGGCGTCAAGTTTCCCCACTTTTGTTTGCTCACATGATCCCTGACAGTTTGAAAGGCTCTTTCAGCGTTTCACGCTCCCTCTCTCCAAAACAGAAATGACCGAGAGTTTCTTTCTTTCTTTCTTTCTTTCTTTCTCTCTCTCTCTCTCTCTCTCTCTCTCTCTCTCTCTCTCTCTTTCTCTCTTTCTTTCCTTCTTTCCTTCCTTCTTTCCTTCTTTCCCCGGGCACGCAACATTCCAGAAGCCTCTGCGCGGTCGACTCCCTCCACCTCCGTGGCACAGCTGGCCTTTCTCTCCCCTAACCTCGGCTTCTCGTTAACGCTTCCGAAGGGGCTGGCCGGCGGGTCCTCCAATGCCCCGCGGGGCCCGGGGCCCTAGTCTGTCCCCTAGTTCCACTCCCGAGAGCCGCGTTCCAGCCGGATTAAGTTCAGCATCTCCACCCTGGACCGCCAGCCGGTTCTCCTTCGCCAGATCGCAGCCGCCTTTCGACCTGGAGGGCAATGCGCTGCTGAGCCGTGAGCGACAGGGGGAAGCGAAGCCCGTGGGTTGCGCGAGGGCTTCCGAAGGCAGCGCGCTGCGGATCCCCGCTTGCCCCTAAATCGGCCGAGCCTCGCCAAAGAACGGCAGCCCGGCCCCCACCCACTGGCGGTGGCAAAGAAGTCCGCCGGTGGGTCCCACGGGACTTCCCTCTCCCAAGGAAGTGTAGGTGGGGTCGGGCTGCACGGGAGCCAGTGCTCCTCCGCCAGCAGGTGTTCTGCAACTTTCCCGCTCGGTCCCCATCAACGCATCCCAGGTGAAGGTCTCGTTCTTCTTCTTCTTACTGGACGCCACTTGGGTTCACTTCTGAGGCTGTAGTCACACGTACCAAAGAATCCATTTAAAATCCACTTCCAGTGCACTTTCCAACTGGATATTACTGTGTGAACTGGCAAAATCCAGTTGGAAAGTGGATTGGAAGTGGATTATTTCGTGTGCGTGACCGCAGCCTGAATCAAGGGGGGGGGGGAGATCGCGTTGGACGGGGCTTCAGTACTTTCCCAGGCCCCCTTCCTTACCTTAGCAGATCACCTTTTCGTTCTCTTCTTCCTGAGACAGCCTCCTGTCCTCCCCTGGCTCCAATGACCCCCTTCCTCATCTGCACCTGCTGCGCCGTCTTCCCTCTAAAAGTTACTTCCAGTAGCCACCAACCCCTTTAGAACTGAAGGGATTTTTCTTCCGCTTCCCCCACCCCCCATTTCACCCTTCAACTTTCCAGTCGCCTTGCTTCGCCAGCGGCCCTGCCCGATCCTATCTACGCTGACTCGGGAGTTAGCTCACCGAATTCAAGGGGGGGTGTCACTTTCTAGTAACCTGCGCAGGATTCAAGTCCTTTTCAGCGTGTCTTAGGAGAGTTAAGGTCCCTGGCGTTGTTTGCACACCCAGCCTGCTAATAAATCCTGTCGACTGCAAGGGCACGCTGCGCTTTGGGGCACATCTCCTTGCATCCTGTAACCTAAGCCGGATGTCAAATGTAGGGTGCCTGGCAGGATCAGGTGGTAAGGGTGCTTAAACGATGGAGACCTGCTCGCCCACACACTTTTCACTGTTACCTGGAAGTAAACCTGGATGATTCCAGTTGCTATTTTAGAATCGCAGGGGAAGGCTGAAAAGCACGCTGACCGAAACATCACTTGAAGGTAATTTAAAATCTGACCAAACAAGCATAGGATCGGTCTGCGCGGCTGCAATGCTGTAATACTTAATTAGAAGTCACCTTAAAGTCTTAGCTGTGATATGTAGGTTGAATCTGTAAAGCACCTTAACTGGTGCACCTGAACTGTAAATCGGAGAGGCCACGCAACAGGGTGCGCGCCTCAGCCCAGTTTAATCCTTGTCCAACTCTCCCTTTTGAATCGAGGAGATTTAACAAAAAACCCCCTCAGATTAGTTTGGATGATGCGCACGCTTCCTGGGTTAGATTGAAACGCCAGGCTCGAACGTCCAGCGGAGGATGAAACTCTCCACACGCTGAACTCCGTGGAATTTACTCGTGAGTAAATTCGCAGACTCTTGGCGCAGCGCTTCAACTCTCTGCGCAGTTATTTGGGAGGGAGCTGTTGGGCACGAGGGGAACGACAAACATGAAACGAACCGGGCGGCAGGGCTGCCCGTCCTAAACAGACTTCCTTGGGAACCGAAGCCTTTCCTCTCCGAGGGAAACGACAGACTCCTTTTGCGCCCTTTCTTCGGGATCCAACGTCATCCGTGCGAAGACGTCTGCTGGGAATCAAAACACCGTCTCCGCGGGGCTCACTTTCCGAATAAGCATGCTTATTGGGGGGACCTCACGGCCCGAGCCTCGGAACAACTGTTTGCTCGGAACCGAGTCCACTCGAGTCCCGCGGGGGCTGAATGCGAGCCCAGGAAAGAGCGCTCGGGTGGGAGCCTTTTTGCTCTCCTCGTGTAAGGAGCGCGCGCCTGTGTGCGGGAGGGGGG